ATATAATATAATTATATATATAATATTATATAATTATATTATAATATACATTATAATTATAATATTATAAGTATATATTATAATTATAATATATATTATATATTATATACATTATATATATATACACACACACACGCACACACACATTTTATATATATATATATATATATATACATACACCACATCTTCTTTATCCATTCATCCATCAATGGACATTTGGGCTCTTTCCATACTTTGGCTATTGTTGGTAGTGCTGCTATAAACATTGGGGTGCATGTGTCCCTTTGAAACACCATACCTGTATCCCTTGGATAAATGCCTAGTAGTGCAATTGCTGGGTCGTAGGGTAGTTCTAGTTTTAATTTTTGGGGGGAACCTCCATACTGTTTTCCAGAGTGACTGCACCAGTCAAACTGACCCTTTCTGTTCATTCCCGATGCCATTTTGCCTAGGCCTTGGCCCTCTTCATATCCATCAGCCTCCTAGCTAATACTGTCTCTTATTCCCTCTCGTACTGGATTCACAGTCAGGACATCTTGGGTTCTAGCTACAGCTAACAGGGGCATTTTCTACTTAAAAGACAAATTGTGGAATTCCTCAATTAGGAAATGAACTCACGGTGGATAAACAACAATATACAAAGGTACTTCTGGTTTTCAGTCATTTAACTAATGTATTTTCAGTAATGAGGCTGTCCTTGGAAGGTGTAGAAATGATGAAAACCCCCAAATTCCAGCTCCCCAGCAAGAAAGGAAAGGAAGGGAACTTATTGAGGTTGTTCTTTGTTCCAGGCTGTGCCAAGGCACTTTGTTACTCATAGCAATGCTACCATGGTCCCTGACAGTCTGCTTAGAATTAAGAACCAGGAGAGTTAGACTCAACATGGTTCTGAATTCAAAATATGTTTGTCTTTTTACAACACTTTCTATTAACCCTGAATCCAGACTGTGTGATGTTTTGGTAAAAGCTTGCAGCTAATAGAATGTAAAGTACTTTGGGGCAAAGTAGGTATCAGGTACCCAATCCTGTCTGTAGAAAATTAAATTTAGTGCTGCAATTTAGAGAGGTATATTCTTATCAGAAGGACATTAAAAACCTTTAAAATGTTTCTGGCTAGTTCTGTTTGGAGTGAGTGGAGATTTGGGAAAACTGAGAGAAGGTAGCCTCTGAGCTGGGTGTTGAAGAGTAAGAAGCCATCAGGTAGATGATAATATTAGTGATGATGATGATATTCGTAGAGCATGTTACATTTGTGGAGAGGTTACCACGTGCTGGAGCCATGTTTGTTCCAAGCCAGTAGTTCTCAAAGTGTGGTGCACAAACCAGCAGCATTAGCATTACCTGGGAACTTGTTAGAAATGCAGATTTTCAGGCCCCTCCCCAGTACTCCTCAGTAGGTATTTCTGACCTACTGAGTCAGGCCGTGGGCTCCAGGTAATCTGATGCATGTTTAGGTTTGGGAACCACTGTCCTGCCACATAGACATTAATTCATTTAATACTCACAACAACCTTATGGGATGGATAGATAGATACTATTATGCCCATTTTATGACTGAAGGAATTGAGGTAAGTGATGAACTTGAGAACCAAACCTTGGATTTCTAACTCCAGAGAGAAAGGTGACTATTGGTGTGTGGCTTATTTTTTTAAAAATACCTGTTTCTCCATTTTCATTTGTCACTACTTCCACACCCTCCCCTCTACGTTCACTTTGAGAAGCCCTGCCAGCATGACCTGTTTGCTCTGTCTCTAGCCCTTTGATTTGAACATTCAGATTCCTCTGCTTAGGCGTCGCTTTTTCCTTGTCAATGTGGCAAATCTCAATCTTTGTTTATCTTCAAGACTACAGAGTTAATGCCTCCTGTAAGGAAGCCTTCCCAACCTTCCCCACATCTACTGGGAATAGTGCTAAACATAGATGCTCTGTCATTTCTTCTCCCACAGTCTTTTCATTCTTCTGGTCTGGTATGTATCTCCTTGTCTTATAAAATGCTAGTTGATACGCCTGCTCCAATAGAACAGTGCTTCTTGATAGAAGGTGTTTTATCTTGTTCATCATTGTTTGTTTCCTGCCTGGCATATGGTGAGCACTTAATAAATATTTGACAAATGAGTGGCTAAATGAATTAGTCTATGAATTTTTAAGTAAGAGTAAAATGTTCAAATTCTGTTTTAGGAAGGAAAATCTTGACAGCTGTGTGGAGCAAGATTGGAAGGAAGAGAGACTAGATTAGCAACTAGAGTCCAAGTTAGGAGAGGGTTGACAAAAACATGAGCTAGGGAATGGATGCGAGAAGTGCTTTAGAGGAGGAATCATTACAGGAGGGAAGAAGATATAAGAAACAGTAGATTTCTGGGGGAACAAAATGAGCAGGCGTTTTTGAGGTTGTCAGGGGATAGCTGGAAATTCAAGTAGACAGGAATTCTGGTTTAGAAGTACCTGGGCTTGAGGTACAGATTTTGAAGTCATTTATACATGGTTATATACAAATGAGCAAGGTAGCTCTGGGAGAACAAGGTGAAGACAAGGGGAAGGGAGGCAAAGATTGACTGAGTGTCTGTATATGCCAGACCCTGGCATTTTCACATTTATTCCTTAAGATAGCATGCTGCCTCATTTTCTCGTCACTCCTATTACTTAACCCTCTAGCCAATATCTGTCGACCTGGAACTGTGCACATACATTTTGTTGTTCATTTAGGCTCATCTGCCTTGAGAGCGCCCCCCCCCCCTTTTTTTCTTTTTTACCTGGCATACTTCTCTTTGCCTTTCAGAACTACACCCAGACATAGTCCTATTATAGAGAGACTTATTGTTGAGTTGCCTCCCCAAGCACCTAATCCATTTGTCACACTTTTGCCAGAGTGGTCTTTTTAAAATACGTGAATATGATACCAGCCCAAAGAGAAGATCCTGTTTATGGCAGGTGTTCCCTTTCTCTCTAGTAGAACATTCTGTTGGAGATACCACATACTTCTTTATGTTTGGTAATTTAAAGACTGCAGGAGATTCGCCTGGAAGTCCTAAAAGAGCTGCTGAAGAAGCGTGATGAGAATCAAAATGAAGTGAACATGAAGCATTTGAATGCCCAGTGGTCTAAACTGCAGGAAGCAAAGGAGGCAAAACTGGCACAGATTCAGCACAGACATGTATCAGGTAAAGGTGCAATATGAACAATGAAGAGAATGGGAAAGTTGGCTTTGCTTTGAATCTTTGACCAAACCTGATTTAGATAGAATTCTTATGAGTCCTAGTGTTATTAAATGAATAAAGGAAAAGAGTTACTTTCAAAAGTAGAAGACTGGAGGAAAATTTCTAAGAAAACCAAGTAGTAATGTTCTAACAGGTAGTCAAGTTACTGACATTATTGGCACGCGCACGCGTGTGTGTGTGTGTGTGTGTGTGTGTGTGTGTGAGAGAGAGAGAGAGGGAGAGAGAGGGAGAGTAGGGGATGGGCTTCTCATATTCATGGGTTGAGTTCCCAGAGAGCCCAATTTCTCAACCTTTTTTTAAATTATTTCCCTTAAATGAGACATGTAGACATATTTTCTCCTGCTTGCCCCCTCCCATGAAATTTTAAGACCATGGATATACTGTATATCTGTTTATGTGTTATATCTGTACATATAAAAGGAGTAGTCAGTGGATGATTAAGAATGACTATATAAAAAATTTTTAAGGACTATATAAAAACTAAATTAAAATTTAAAAAAATTTAACTTATTAGGATTTAGCTTTATAGCTTTATTTGCTTAGTAACTTTTAATATAATTTACTTATAAAATTGTAATGTATCAATTATATATGCAAATTATCAATTTAATGTATAATAACAGAATGTAATTACAACTTAAAAAATCAAATTTGTTATTTTTCTAGCAAAAGTAAAACAGTTATAAAAATTAATTCCATAAAATTATTTTTAGTGAACTTTAACTTTTAACTAGATGCTAGGTATACATGTTCAACAGTTGTTTTTTTTTTTTTCAGCACTTCACAATACTAACAATGGGTTTTGTAGCTTTTTTTTTTTTTTTTTTTTTTTTTTTTTACTCCCCCTGTCCCTCTCTTCCTGCCCTTTGGGATCACCTCCCAAATAAACTGCTTGCACAACTGCTTTTGTCTCATGCTCTGCCTTTGGGGGAACCCTGGCTAAGACAGAACTCAAATGTCACTTCCTCAGGGAGGCCTTCAAGGACCCCACTCCCTCCCATCATAAGTGAGGCACCTATTATCTGCTCTCACTTATATGCCCCTGAACTTGTCGTGTGTGTGTGTGTGTGTGTGTGTGTGTGTGAAAAAATAACTTTTAACTAGCTTCGAGGTATGTAGTTAGACATTGTCAACATTTTTTCTTTTCAGTACTTGGTATAACTAATGATGAGTTGACTAACTTTTGTAGGTAAATAATAAAATGTTAACTATTTTTATTTAATTCTAAACCCCAAGTTATACACAGAAGCACTGAGGATCAAACATAAACACCCACAAGTCAGCAGTGGTGCATGCAGCCGCCTCTTGCAACAAGACTTTGCAGTCCCACAGTATGACTTTGCATGCATTGACAGCACACAGCATAGAGCCTTCAAACCGGCTGGCTCTGTGATAGGACTGAAAGAGAAGGAGCCGGTGGAGGTAGCAAGCATGACTCCTTAGATGAATGAACTCTGAATGTGCACGGCTCAGCCTTTTCCCTCTGACTGCCAAACACTTCTAGAGCTCTAAGCTGGGATATATTGTGCTTTATTCTATTGTTAACCAAGATGGTCAGATTACTGAAGAACCTGTAGTCTCCCTCCCTTGCAATTATTCTCCTAGGAGAAAATAATTCTCCAAATCTCCCCTGAACATATATTTTTCAGTTACTTTGAGTTTTGTTTGTAAGCCTGGAAGACTTTTGCCAAATACACCTTCTTACCTCAGAGCTTGGAATGCAGTTATTCAATTTTTTTTAAGTTTTTTAATGTTTATTTATTTTTGAGAGAGATAAAGAGCAAGTGAGCAAGGGGCAGAGAGAGGAAGACACAGAATCCGAAGCAGGTTCTAGGCTCTGAGCTATCAGAACAGAGCCCAATGCAGGGCTCAAACCCACGAACCAGGAGATCATGACCTGAGCCAAAGTCAGACGCTCAACCAACTGAGCCACCGAGGTGCCCCAGTTATAAAAGATTTTTGACGAGTACCCATTGAGGACACTAATTGCCTCAACTTCTGTCACTCCCGATTGTCTCATGAGGATCTGGGCCACACAGAGGACTAACCTCTGTTTTTAGTGTTATATTCTGTCTGCAGTGAGTGGTCTTCATGACTGCACAGTTCAGTAGTTTCTCTGTGAACAAAAACAAAACTGGCCTATTATGCATTTGTTTAGAACTATATTTTGGAGATAGTCACAGAGGTATGTTTTATTCTAGCAATCAGGAAACTTGTGGGAAAGGGAAAGAATATAGAAGGGAAGTTGGAGAGAAGAAATATCATCAAGGATTATTCTGACTATGCATCCCAGGTCTATGGGCCTTTGTCTCGCCTTGGTCGTTTCCCTGATAACAACTCAGAGGACTTTGTAGTAAAAAACCACTATCTCAACACCTATGAAGGTAAGATGTTTACATGATAACAAGTCCAGTATAAGAGGAGTATTAGATTAAAGTACTAGAAGAGAAAGAAGTATTGGATTAAAGGCTAAACAACAAGTAAAAATATTTTCAAGAAATAGCAATGAACACATTCAATATTATTAATATGAGTTCATACAAACCAATAAAAACTGCTAAGACTCAAATAAATGGATATACTATATAACAGTGTATCAATGCTTAACTACTAAACATTTAAACTTGTTCAGTGTCACTAATAAAGTTATACAAAAATGAAATTGAAAAAGCTTTTATATCAGATTTTCAAAGCAAACAAGAAATATATCACGAAATCAGCCCTTTAAGAAGTGCTAGAAAACTAGTGGGCAAGGAAATGGATAACCAGGGGATAAATTCATAGAGCTGTACCTCTTACAAAGTCCAAGAGAAGCTTATTTAGATTATTTAAATTTTAGTTGACAAGTTGAAGCATCATGTATATGGCCAAGATCATGAGTTGATGGTCACACTCTTGAACTTGTGTCTCTGGCTGATCATCTCCAGAGCAGAATAAGATAAATTTGTGTACATCTACTTTAGAATGATGATCCCATGTATCATATGACCATTAATTTTCTCTTGATTATTATCATAGAATTTACTACATTTTTGTAGGTAAATATTGTATTAGAATGGATTCTCATTTTACAATCCTAAGTCACTGAGAACATGAGTTAATTATGCAGAAATTTGCTTTACGTTTTGGGTCCACTCCAATTATGTGGGCTCTACCTCATCAATAATTCTAAATGAAACCACTTGGCAAATAGCTCCTAAAACTAACAATACGCTTTCAAAATGGTAAATTTAATCACCAAATACTAAAAAACATGTACTTCTTTCCTGTAGGATTAGTTGAACTTGAGTCATGTCTCCCAGATTTTGTGACACAACCCCGAATCAGACCTCCAAAGCCAAAAGTCACTACCACGAAAGCTGGTTTTCTCAAGAGGGCAGCAAGAATGGAACATGAGTTGGCAGAGGTTCATAAGGTATAATAATCCTTATTCATAGACAAGATGCTTCTAGTGGGACTTTTGCAGTGAAATACTATACCTCCAAAATTGCAATGTCCAGTAGTTCTCAACGGATAACTCTACATTTTTTCTCCTCCCTAGATTTTTCTCTTCTGGAAGTTGCCTTTGCTATGCTGAATGAATATGCTTCTTTTCCTCATTTCAGACTGTAGGAAAATCTCTTGGAGGTTGTTCTCCAATTTCTTGGCGGAAGTCATGTTACTTCCTAAAAGTGGTTCTGACTTTGGATCTCCATAATATCTGAGACTACGTTGAGGCGTAGCAAGTTTCTAGTGTTAGGAATTACTGCTGGTTTTAATAGTGTACTAGGCCTCATTTTCTCCCTTTTAGATTTGTTACCAGGGTAACAGGGAGTCACATTCAAGGCCTCTCTGATCTAGTTTAAAGCTCAACTAAATGAGAAAGTGCAATGGTTGTCCCCATGAAACAAGTACAGAGGAGCCACCAGCTCCTTTTCCCATTTGTTAATTGGGCTGTAGGTGTATAGACTCTAGAATTCGTGGTTTATGATAGTGCTGCTCAGTCTTTAGCAGGCATCAGAATCACCCAGAGGGCTTGTTAAAACACGTGTTGCTGGGCCCAACCCCAAAGTTTCTGATTGAGTAGGTCAGAAGTGGGGCTGGAGTATTTGCATTTGTTACAAGTTTCCAGGTAATGCTGATCTGTAGGAACTACATTGAGACTCTCTGGTCCACGACATAATCTCCCCACTGGTCCACGTATGTTTGTTTGTTCAGTTGGTTTTGGTAGTGGAATAAGAATCCATGGGAGCCCATACTCACTATAAAAATTAGGACCTTAACAGTAATTCATGTGTATTTATGTGGTTCTTCCCACCTCATCCCCCTGTCTCCATTTACCCATTTGAACTCTGCATTCATTATTCTCTTACTTTCTGTAAGATGTGTTAGTAGATACTTTTTGTTAGGGTGTGGAAGTTCTCTTCTGTTCCTAATTTACTGAAGCTTTTAATCATGTGTTCATGTTGTATTTTATCACATGTTTCAGCTGTATCTATTGAGATAATTATATATTTTTCTTTTTAAAATTATTATTATAATAAGGAACATTTATAGTTGCTTTTTTTTTTAAACAAACATTAATCTATCCTTACATACTGGAGATGAGCCTAACCTGGTCAAGGTGTTTTATCTTACTTTTAATACATTGTTGGATTTGATTTACTAGTTTATTTTTCAGAATTTTGATTCTATATCTGTGAGTGAAATGGCCTTACTTTTCTTTCTCATTTTGATTCTGTACAGTATTGGTGTCAGAGTTATACAGGTCTTCTTAAATGACTGCAGAGTATTCCTTCTTCTCTACTTTTGAAAAGAGTTTAAGCTTAAGATGATCTGTTTCTTCAGTTTGGTAGAATTATTATCTGAGATGTTACCTTCATGGGAAAGCTTTCACCACTCCTTCATTTCCGTACTACTTACAGATCTTTCTGCATTGTTTTGGTAAATTACATTCTTTACAAGGTCCATTTCACCTAACTTTTCAAATTTTTTGGCATACGTTGATAGTATTATTTTATAATCTTCTTAGCGTTTGTTTTATCTATAACCGTGCCTACTTTTTCAGTCATAATATTATTTATTTGTGCTTTAACTCTTTTTTCTTATTCAGCTTTACTGGAGGCTTATTAATTTTCTTGGTATTGTTCTTCCAAGGAATGAACCTCCAAATTTGTTGATTTTCTTTACTATAGATATTTTATCAATTGTATTAGCTCCTATTCATATTATGTCTTTCTCTCTTGTTTCTTTTTGCTTTGTAGTTCTTTTCCTAACTTAAAGTAGGCATGTAGTTCATTAATTTTCAGGCACTCATCAATTTTATAAAGTATTTAAGGCTAAACATTTCCTTCAAAACACTGATTTTGATATATTTCATTAGTTTTGATATGAAGTGTTTATTAGTATCTAACTTTTTAAAAACATCTCTTATGGTTTTTGCTCCTGTGAGTATTTAAGTTTTTAAATTTCCAAATATGCAGGAGTTTTAACTCGTTTTTGAAGTAAATTCTAACTCATTTGCTCTATGGTCAGGAATCCCTATTCTTTGAAATTTAGTGAGGCTTGTGAACTAGTATATGAGTTTACATATAAAATAATCTAAGTCCACCTTCAAGTAATATTATCACTTTCCATGTAGAGCATTTGCTTTATAGCAGATTATTCCCAGTTCCTCCCTACAGTCCCTGTGGCATTGCTGTCGTTCATTTCACTGATCCATAGGCTATAATCACCCAATACATTTTTACTGTCATTGCTTTAACAGTTATATTTTGGATCAATTAAAAATAAGAAAAAATAGTTCAATTTACCTTCATGTATTCTTTCTGTGCCACTGTTCCTTTCTTTATAGAAATGCAAGTTTCTAACCAATGTCATTTTTCTCCTGCCTGGAGAACTTGTTTTACCATTTATTACAGGACAGGTCTCCTGGCAATGAACTCCTTCAGTTTTTTGTCTGTCTCAAGAAGGCTTCGTTTCTCTTTTATGATTTTTTTTTTTTTTAGATATAATTCAATACCATAAAATTCACCCTTTTAAAATATACAATTCAATTGTTTTTAGTATGCTCACAAGATTGTTCAACCGTAACCATTATCTAATTCCAGAACATTCTTATTATCCCAAAAGAACCCCATGTCGATTAGCAGTCACTCCCATTACCCTCTTCCCCATAGCCCCTGGCAACCACTAATCTTTCAATTTATGGATTTGCCTATTCTGAACATTTCATATAAATGAAATCACACAATGTATGGCCTTTTGTGTCTGGTTTCTTTAACTTAGCATAATGTTTTCAAAGTTCATCCATGTTGTAGTAGGTCTCAGTACCTCATTACTTTCTGTGACTATATGATATTCCATTGTGTGGATGTGTTACAATTTGTTTATCTGCTCATCAGTTGATAGAAATTTGAGTTGTTTCTCCTTTTTATCTAAGCAATGCTGCTGTGCACGTTTGTGTACAGATTTTTGAGTGACATAAGTTTTTCAGCTCTCCTGGCTCTAGATCTAGGAATGGAGTTACTGGATCACATAGTAACTATGTTTTACTTTTTGAGGAACTGCCAGACTGTTTCAGAAGTGGTTGCACTGTTTTACATCCCTACCAGGAATGTATAAGGATTCTGATTTCTCCATATCTTTGCCATCACTTGTGACTGCCCATCTTTTTATTATAGCCATCCTAGTGTGTGTGAGGTGGTATGTCACTGGGGTTTCAATTTGTTTTTGTCTAATGATTAATGAAATTTAGCATCTTTCATGTGCCTTTCATTTGTATATCTTTTTTGGAGAAATGTCTTTCAGATTCCTTGCTCATTTTTTAATTGGGTTGTCTTTTAATTGTTTATTATAGACATTACTTTTAATGTCTATTGTTGAGGTATAGGAGTTCTGTATATATTCTGAGGCCTACCCTTATCAGATAAATGATTTGCAGTTTTCCTCCTATTCTGTGGGATGTCTTTTTACTTTCTTGATAGTATCCTTTGAAGCAGTTAAGTATAAAATTGTGATCTTTTCACTTTTGGATAATGATTTCACTGAGTATAGAATTCTAGGTTGGTGGGGTTTCCTCCCCCTAACACTTCAAAGATTTCACTCCATTCTCTTCTTGCATGGATGGTTTCTGACTAGAATTCCACTATAATTTTTATCTTTGTTTTTCAGTAGCTAAGGTGTTTTTTCCTCTGGCTTCTTTCAGATTTCTTTCTTTGTCTTTGGTTTTCTCTAATTTAAATACTATATGCCTGTGGTGTTTGTGTGTGCGTGTGCGTGTGTGTTTAAGGTATGTGTCTTTCATGGCGTTTTTTTAAGCTTTCTGGATCTGTAGGTTGGTGTTTGTCATTAATTTAGCAAAGTTTCCAGCCATTATTATTCCAAATATTTATTCTGCATTCTCTTTCTTCTCCATCTCGCATTCCAGTTGTACACATTACTCCTTTTGATATTGTCTCACAGTTCTTGGATGTTTTGTTGTATTTATTTGTTTGTTTCTCTTTGCATTTCAGGTTGAGGAGTTTTTATTGACCTATCTTTAAATTCCTGGATTCTCTTTTTTTTTTTTTTTTAGCTATGTGGAGTTTACTGATGAGCCATTGATGGCATTCTTCATTTCTGTTATAGTGTTTTGATTTCTATCCTTTCCTTTTGATTCTTTGAGTTTCTGTCTCTATTTACATTACTCATCTATTCTTGCATGTCATCTACCTTTTCCATTAGAGCCTTTATCATAATATTGATCATTGTTATCTTAAATTTTCTGTCTGATAATTCCAACATTTATGTCCTATCTGAATCTAGTTCTGATGATTGCTTTCTCTCTTTAGACTGTGTTTTTGTGGGGGGTTTTTTCCCCTTTCCTTTGGAATACCTTTTAATGTTTTTGATAGCCTGACATCTGTTATCAAGCAATCGGAACTGAAGTAAATAGGCATAATGTGGGATTTATTCTAATCTGGCTAGACATTGGGCTGTGTTTAATGTTTGTTGTAGCTGATGGGGTCATAGGATTCACATTATTTTATTGTCCTTGTTTTTATATGTCCTTTTGGATTTGGGATGGGATGCCATTGTATGGAGTCTGTTAGTTTAGAATATTGGTTTGAATTCAAGAGAATCACTAAATATCAGGTTTATGTCCAGACAGTGTATCTGCTTTTAGTCTTATGGCTAACATTATTTTGAGAATTCAGAATCATAGAAACATGAAGGTACGGGTGGTATAAGGTTTAAAAAATACTTTATGGGCTATGTCACAGTAATCATGGAAGAAAAATATCTAGAATGGCATAAAAGAATTTCCACAGTACAATATTTTCAGGCTATTCTTGGTAGTAATTGAGGTTGGAACATATTTTTGAAGATTTGTCAAATTACTTACATCTTAAAGTAGGTTAAAAGAGTGTAACAATCAGTTCTTTCTTTCATTTATGAAAACTATGGATTAAACTCAGTTGCCTAGCCAGTTTGTCTTTTAAGCAGGTTAAAATGTATTGTTTGGTAAGAGCATTTCCTTGATATTCTCATATTCATTCATGTTCCTTTCTCTCTCCCTGGGAACTTTATTTTTCAAGACAATGATAAGACTGAGATTGAAGAAATTCTCAAATATTTTTGTTAGTTTTATTATACTTTTGATTGGACTTCTTGACCAAACATTTTTAATTGTAAAAATCCAATTGCTTTTTTTCAAAATTTAAGTGATTTTTTTCTTTCTTTTCTCTCATATTTAGAATTTATTTATTGACTGGGAAAAATATCCACATAGTTCAAAATTCAGGAGTTCTATGAGAGTATTAAATGTAAACCTTCTATCCCTGTCTCCCAGCTATGTGGTTCCAAGTATCTTTTTAAACTTTTTTTTACACAAATGTTAGTATATAATACACATGGTTTTGTCTGTGCTTTTATTATTTAATATATCTTGGAGATCATCCCATAATTATGTTACATTATTTTTTGCATGATATATCATTGCTTAAATGTGCCATATTTTAACCAATCCCTTCTTGTTATTTATATTGTCTGAAGTTTTTTGTATTAAAAGTAATACTGCATGGGGCGCCTGGGTGGCGCAGTCGGTTAAGTGTCCGACTTCAGCCAGGTCACGATCTCGCGGTCTGTGAGTTCGAGCCCCGCGTCAGGCTCTGGGCTGATGGCTCAGAGCCTGGAGCCTGTTTCTGATTCTGTGTCTCCCTCTCTCTCTGCCCCTCCCCCGTTCATGCTCTGTCTCTCTCTGTCCCAAAAATAAATAAACATTGAAAGAAAAATTAAAAAAAAAAAAAAAAAGTAATACTGCATTGAGTAATCTTGTTTGCATATAATTTGGTACATGTGTGAACATATCTAGAAGAAAATTCTTAGACATGGAATTGCTAGCCCACAATATGCCTGCATTTATAGTTTTGATGTATATTGACAAATTTCTTGCATAAATGATGTACTAATTGCTGCAGTGTATGTGAGTGCCTGTTTTCCCAGATTGATACCAACATATTATGAATGACTGGTTTTAAAGTGGTTTCATGTGGTGCTATTTAGGGCCTATCACTGAAGAGATGCCTGTGTTTAGAATTATTATTTTTTTGATTGCTGTTGCTTTTATTGATTCAGTAGTTGTGGTTATTGTAAAGCTGTTATATATTAGAGCTGTTATATATATTTTGTGTCAGTTTTATTTTGTAGAAACTCAGAGGTTCTATTACAACCACAGTAATTTCATATGGTTTCAAATTTTACTCAATTTGCATATTTTTACTAATTTCAAGTTTTGGCTTTGTGCTTGTTTTATCACTTCTGTATGTTTTCTGTGGGAAAACTAATGTAAAAATTATGTGGTGAAAATGTGATTCTATTATTTTATTCTTGAGAGACAGAGACAGCATGTGAGTGGGGGAGGGGTAGCGAGAGGGAGACACAGAATCCAAAGCAGGCTCCAGGCTCTGAGCTGTCAGCAGAGAGCCTGACGCGGGTCTTGAACTCACAAGCTGTGAGATCATGACCTGAGCTGAAGTCGGATGCTTAACCAACTGAGCCACCCAGGAGCCCCAGAAAAATGTGATTCTAAAGTATGATTTTTAAATGATGGAGATTAGAATTTTTGATACTTTTAAGTTAAAAGTATCCCCTCCTGTGGCTGAATATAGAACCATTGAACAAAATCCTATGTTACATATAATTTGGGGGACTTTTGGTGATCAAAAGTAAAACAAATAAAACGTATGTTGAAATCAGAACACACACACTTTCACAAGGAAACAAGTTCATTTTCAAGAATCATGATGTGCAGGCCTTCACTGCCAAAGGAAAGCTCCTCACTTTGAGACAGTTGCCCTTGAATGTTCCTCAATTCCCCTATAACAACAAAACATCAAATATTTCCATCATTTATGGCACAGGGAAATTTTCTATTGCCCAGGCACTTATTCTAAACAGATAATAGGCTCTTATGAAAGAATAGGAGTTGGGGTTTTGTTTGCATACATACGAGAGAACCTTTTAAAATCTCAAAAAAAATAATTTAAGTCCTCCAAATCTTTGATTAAAATGGATAAACCTAGAATATGTGCCATGTTTATCCAGTGGTTAGTTGGTCTTTAGGAATATCATAACATCCCTTGGGTCACAGAAGCACCTGGGTTTGGACTTTCTCAAACTGTCCAAGCATAACCATAGAGAAGATAATTTCTGATTGATCTTCAGAACTGTGGCCTAGATCTGGTAATGGAAGAAAATGCAAAGGTAAAGAATGACACTACTTGGTGTTATTATTCTAGGCAATATTGGATAAGAAGAATAAAGTTCTTGAACCAAAGAAACTTCTGCGCTTTCTTCAAAGAAAGTCACTACCTCAACCTCGCCTTCCAACTCCAACTTTGGAAATGAGTTCCATTGTAAGTTTGAAACTTGATTTGAAATGCTAAATTCAGTATTGCTGTCTGTTCTTAGATACTTTGAGTTAAAAACAAACCTAATTTAACAGGGTTACCTTCTCAAGATATGACTTATATGGCATTTATTCTTATGATTCAAACATCAAACACACATGAATAAGCACAACAAAATCTTTCCAAGAAAAATAGGCATCAGAAGGTAATCCTCATGTATGTCAAATAAAAAAAGAAGATTGAATGATGATCAGTTACTATAACCATCTTGCCCACATGGGGAGGTGGCTGATGACAGCTGGTGTCAGAGAGGAGTGAAGTGCCAGAGATGTCATGAGGACAGGTTGGCTTCTAAGGTAGGACTGGCTCAAAGAGGTCACCTTGACCAGAGTCATACCTCACCTTCGTAGATCTCCAAACTCTGTTTGGATGAGGTATCAGAGTCAGTCAGGATTTAGGACTGACTCAGACTAGACAGCCCCCACCTCCAAGAAACTGCTAGAGATGCCACAATCCAAACGTCCTGCTTGACCGAAGGATAACTGCCTGGTAGATGGGGGCATTCCTCTTAGCAGGTCAGCCCATCATCTCCCAGGATAGGGCAGTTCTCACAAGAAGCCAGATTGTACTGAGAAGGTTGTCAGAGGGAGGGGAGTTGACAGGAGATCTCATTAGGGCTTCTGATGGGTCGGTCACCTGCGTGGAGGGACTGCCAGGATGTGCTTCTGGACATCCCCTTTGCTAGACTTTATGCCAATCATTGCCTGTGGTTAACACATTGTCTTTCACATGTGTGAAAGACATGCTTTCTTTTGCATTTAGAGGCACCTTAATTAGATTTGCAGACTCTGCTTTCTGCTTTTGACACAGTTATTTAAGGTGATTTTTGTAGATGGCTATTCTTGTCCATTCTGATTTTACCAGCTTATCTAAATTCTTGTGAGAAACACCTTACTCTAGACTCTGACACAAACTAGCTTTATTCCTTGTCTACTCTTGATCAAACATGAAAAAACTATTACAAAAGGGATGGTGTAAGCAATACTTGTTGTTTCAAGAAAGATTTTGCTGGAAAGGAGTATAGAAAAATGAAAATGGCTTAAATTGTAGGGATAGCATGAATTTTTTGCTGTTGAAATGATTTGTAATGATGTCTTATCATTATAAAAGAATGAATTTTAACAATCCAGTAGCATTTAAAATACTATATTTTCAATGAGAGTATAGACCTCATTTATTTCTCTTTAAGTCTCTGGCATCTAGCACAGTCCCTTTTGCTTGATCTGAGTCTTCAAAAAATATTTTGTGCTGACTGCTGCTCTTCTCAAGCTGCTTGGTTCTCACTTTGTTCTTTTAGGAAGAAGAAGATATAGAGATGGCTGTGATCTACCTTCAAAAGTTACTCCGGGGAAGAGTTGTTCAGAACACGGTGTGTAGGGTCCAACCACTGGTCCTGTGCTTCTCCTCTGAGGATGGATTTATAGAACGCATATGTGCTTGGTTCCTTGGGGTGAATTCCTTCTGGCACCCTGCTGTCCTCTGGAACTCTATACTCTCAAGTTACCTACCCATTCCCTTCTGTTCCAGTTTGTCCAAGTGGGTGGCACAGTGTCAAAGAGAGAAAGGACCTGCTTGCTGTTGGTCACAGTTGTAACCAGGGCAAAGTGAAATTAATATCTTAGAATTGCTAAATCCAGCCATTTTCCTACCTAAATTTTGACTTTTTAAAAAAGTTTATTTATTTAATCTCTACACCCAACATAGGGCTTGAACTCATTGACCCCAAGATCAAGAGTGTCATGCTTTTCCAACTAAGTCAGTGGGTGCCCCTGAATTTTTACTATTAAGGCATCACAAACCAAGTGGATTCCCTAATTTTCCACAAAGTCATAATTATTTGAGTTGGCATATAGCTAGCAACACCTGAATAATAAATAGCAAAGTAATAATAACTACAGTTTTAAAGCCATAGTATAAGCTCACATTATATTTTCTTTGCTTTACTTATATCATCTCTCTTTTTTTCTATCAGTTGCCTCATTTTACAGGCAAGTGATTTGAGTCTGAGATTATGTTAACTGCTAGCAAATTTAACTCTGGTCTTCCTGACTATAAAGCTTTCACCACATTATTTGTACAAACATACTTCACTTTTAAAGTGGACTAATATAAAGCACCAGCAAAAAATTTTTTTCTCCTCACACAGCTATAACTCATAAGAGACTCAGTTATAATTAGTAAGTCTGGGAAGCTGGGTGAGCATCTTGTGTTGAGCATTATTCTTTACTCTCTTTGAAAATTTCCCCGGAAAAATGTCACAGCTGACTCCGTATTACAAACCAGGGGCAGATCTCTTGGAAAAGAAAACATGGCTGTGAAAAATACCATCCTCAGGCATCTTAGGGAAGGAGCACAGAAAATGAGGGGAAGTTTCTAGTTTCCTTTTTTTTTAATTTTTAATGTGTGTGTGTGCGCGCGTGCATGTGCACAAATACATGCTCAAGTTGGGGAGGGTCAGAGAGAGAGAGAGAGAGAGAGAGAGAGAGAGAGAGAGAATCCCAAGTAGACTCAATGCCCAGTGCAGGGCCTCGCTCAGGGCTCAGTCTCATAACTGTGAGATCATGACCTGAGCCAAAATCAAGAGTTGGACACTTAACCAACTGAGCCACCCAGGCGCTCCAGTTCTAGTTTAATATGACTCCTGTAGTAACCACCTTGTCTTGGAGAGACATTTTAAGAAATGAGTAAACAACTGATAACTAAGCTCTTTCTCTACCTGAGCAGCTGGAGGTGTAGAAAAGGGAGCTGACCTCTAGCTCTCTGGAGCACCCCTGCCCTGTAGTCCCAGAACACAGGACTGAACCCACTGTTCATAAGTGCCTCACCAGTCCCTGGATGAGTCCTGATGTGTTGCACAAGGGACGTTAATTGCAAGTCTCTTTTTGATTTGATTTGATACAGATGTTTGAAGGCAAGGAAAAGCGACTGGAGTTGATCCAGGAGCTGCGCACCAGCCATGCACTACAAGAAGATGACAGGCTGAAGAAAGCTGAGAAGCAACTGACCCTGGCCTTACAGCGACAGAGGAACTTGCATGAGCACAAGGTTGTCTCCTGGATTTTTATTATTGCACAAGTGGCATTATAATAATAGTAAATGAAATGACAAAAAAGAAACATTCCCCCCAATCCCATCACTCTATCACAGTCAGCACTTTGGAACAATGCTGCTGCAGTCCAGAAATGGAATGGGCTATGCCCTCACTGAACTGAGCATGATCTTATATTTGCAAAAAAAAAAAGAAAAGAAAAGAAAAAAAAACCATTTTAAAAAATATTTGGTGATTCTACCAAATTTCAGTGGGAGCTTGGCAGAATAAAAAATAATAAATGCAATAAAAAAAGACATGAGATTTATTTTAAAATATCAGCACTTTGGGTGCTGGAGCTGTACATAGCTCAGGCTGGTTAAACTGCATATTAAATATGTTAATATCTCATGATATTCTGTGATGTCATCAGTGTCACCTGACAACAGCTGGTAATTGCAGCTCTACCCCAACAACTGTAAATGTTTTTCCTATTTTCTTCTGGCATTTGTCTATATATAGAGTTTTTAATGGTGCTGACTACAGAGTGGACATACTTTTACTATCTCTCCCACTAATCCATAAATCAATATGAAAAAGAATCAATTTGCACAGTATAGTGCTATATGAAAGTGAAGTTAGTATGACCCACCCTTAGTAATGCACATTAATGCTTGTGCCATGTGGAATTGGGCACAAATGGTAAGCAGCTTAGAAATGAGTACATTATTGCTTTTACATGACATCAGGCTTGTGGATGGTCTCAGTTTGGGGGAGGGAGGAAAAAAGCCACAGGCTGTGAGACCCAACAGAGGGACCAGAGAAAGAAGAAGAGCCCTGCGAATGATAGAGCTGGGATGCACTTCTGTTCAGATGGGAACACAGTGTCCTGGAAGACCCAGGAACTGGATGGAAAAGTGCCCTGTAGGCTTTTTCCTACTCTGTTTCAAAGATCGTTCTTAATGACTTTCAAGTTATTTAAAAGAATAAAAAGTACCACAGTTTTCTACTTTCATGTTATTCAGGATCTTAAAATTCCCCAAACTTGTGTCAAAGGATGAAGCATTAAAAAATTAAAAGGTATCTGAGTGAATTTCTAGGGGACACTATTTTATTGAACTCCCAAAAAATTTTTTAAATAAAAACCTTAACATTGCCTTTCATGTCTGGGAAGATAGAAGCACTTTACCTTCTGGATAAAAGTGAAAGACAAAAAAAGCCAATTTGTGTGGATACTAATAGAAATGTTTTGCTAAGTCCTCCTCATAATTTGAGGACTACAATCTATCAGTGACGGACTGAGCAATCCACTTTCTCATGTCTAAGTTTGTATCCTAAGTTTTCATAGTAAGAACACTTGGGATGGGGCTGTCCTAGTGATAATAAACACTGAGTGCATTCTGAAAGTGAAGTGACCAAGAGTTCTGGCTAGTCCAGCAACCCTCCTTACAAATCATCGTGAGTAGTAGAATTTGTATCATTAAAAATGTTTTTCAGGTGTCACTGGTTGAAAACCATTTGGCTGGACTGGAAGGAAGGGTTCTGGCAGACATGTTTGACTTCCTGTCCAAAGAGCTGGTGAGACTACAGGAAGAGAGGAGGATCCATGCTTTTGCCATGCTGGCCGAGCGGCAGCGGAGGATGCGAGAAGCTGAGGAGAGTGGTCGGCGCCAAGTGGAGCAAAGGCGCCTGCGGGAGGAGGACCAGATATTTAAGGAGGTAAGTGGGGCAGCTGGATGTCTGGAAGCTGCTTGTGTGTATGGAGCTGAGTCAAACCAAATGAAACTCATGATATGAAATGCCTTTTGTTTTTTGTTTTTCATCGCGTTCTACAAATATGTATTGAGTTCCTGCGATATGCTAGGCACAGTTGGAAACCAGTCATGGTCCTTTTTCTTCTAGGGCTTAAATACTTAGATAACATGCAGTTATGTGTAGAATTAGAAAATATAGTAAGCTTCATGAAGGAAACATATGAGGCCCAGTGACGCATTTTAAACATTACTCTGCTTGCTGTGTGGAGAACAGTTTGGACGGAAGACAGAGTGGGAACAGGAGATCAGGAAGGAGGCTCTTGAAGTAGTTTGGGCCAATGAGAAACAGGAAGTCAAGGAAGATGTATAGTTTCTGGCTTAAGTAACTGGGAAGATGATGGTACTATTTCCGAGTGGAATTAGTGGAATTAGTTTAGGGGCAGGGGTGGAAACAGGAAGTTGATTTATATTAGGTTCAAGACATTCTAGTGAAGGTATCATTTCAGCAGGTGGATAGACAAGATGGAAAAGAGGTTTTGGCTAGAGATATAAACAAGAGGGGCATCTGGGTGGCTCAATTGGTTGAGCCTCCAACTCTTGATTTTGACTCAGGTCATAATCTCATGGTTTGTGAGATTGAACCCCATGCCAGTCTCCCTGCAGATAGCAGGGAGCTTGCATGGGATTCATTCTCTCTCTCTCTCTCTCTCAAAAAAAGTAAATAAACTTAAAAGAAAAAAAAGACAAACTAGAGTACCAGGTTGGTAAATTAGAATTCTGACCAGTACATAATGAGCAAGATATAAATTCAAGATATAAAGTCAATTGAGCATCTCACTATTGATTTTGTCTTAGGTCATGATCCCAGGGTTGTGGGATTGAGCCCCGCTTTGGGCTCTGCACTGAGCATGGAGCCTATTTGAGATTCTCTCTCCCTCTCCACCCTTGCCCCTCCCGACTCATGCTCTCTCTAAAAAACATGAAAAAATATAAAAGCTCAAGTGTTAAAATTGGAGGGGATTTATGAGGAAGATTTCTTTATTTTTTTTTTAATTTTTTTTTTAAACGTTTATTTATTTTTGAGACAGAGAGAGACACAGCATGAATGGGGGAGGGGCAGAGAGAGAGGGAGACACAGAATTGGAAGCAGGCTCCAGGCTCTGAGCCATCAGCCCAGAGCCCGATGCGGGGCTCAAACTCGCAGACCGCGAGATCGTGACCTGAGCTGAAGTCGGACGCTTAACCCACTGAGCCACCCAGGCGCCCCGAGGAAGATTTCTTTAAAAGGGACTGTGCTGTGCTATCCCCCTGCCAACACACCCAGACACCAAAATACAGCCAGAGGTTGGTTTCTTTTTCTGTAGTCACTGGAGAGCTTTATAAGTATTCTTCCATTTAGGGTGTCTGACCCCCTAGGAATGGAGAGGAGGGGAGCTGGGCTAACCAGATGCTTTGGAGGTGGACACAGATGAGGCTGTATGGGTGGCCAGCACACCCAGAATATGTCAAGGCAAAGGCTGTGTGAGAGTTTCCCTTGGACTAGATGTGGGACACATGGGACAGAGAGAAAGAGCAAACTTGGAACATAAAGAATTTCTTGTCCAGGAGGACTGTCTGAATTGTATGTGTGCATACTTTTGAGCTCCTCAGTTAAAAAATATGCATCCGTTTGAGATCTTATTTGATCTAAGATTTTCAGGATTTACCCAATTCTCATAGAATTAGGATTGATTTGTGAATAGTATTTTCTGTGTGGATTTCAATTTTTTTTAAACCAAACAGATTGCTCTCCTTCTATACAACTTAAGTTTTGAGTTACATGTAGTCAAGTGCAGCTTTTTAACTGGAATGGCAGATCATCTATAATGTGTATGAGCCTATAATCCATATTCTAGCCTCCTACCATCCTAACACATTTTGCTTCAAAAAGAGTTGCTTTTTGAGACTTAGAAATTATCGGCAAAACTTACTACCCCTACCTAATATCACTAAGGAAAAAACAGCTGGGATGAGAAGAATCAACGTGGGGGTGAGAATAAAAAGGAAAGGGGTACAGAAACCAGTATGCTCAAAAACACAGAAAGGAAGAAGGAGGTAAGAGCTTCAAGGAAGGTAGTTCTAAGTGGGAATGACCCCAGGAAATGTCATCCATTTCTAGGAAGGGTTAAGATGACCCTCCCAGCCTGATTTAAAGACCATTTATGTAAACAGTGTATCCATTTGTGGACCTCAGATTCAAATACCATCCATCATTTAAATTCCTAATCTCCCTTCATATGGCCCTTTTAAAGACAAATATGCTTGCACATAAATATACCAAAACCCAGAAATGTATACATTAAGTATTTCCAGAAAAATAACATATATTGAGAAATGTAGATACAGAAAGTCATAGACTCATATTGAAACACAGACACATGTTTGCATGCACATATTCAAAGACATTGACAAGCACAATGCAGGGTATATAGTATTAACAAAGACATGGAGAAACACATGTAAATGCACATATAGCCACCTATATGTTTCCTTTTTCATTTAAGCACATACAAACACAAACGGGTCCAGAAACTGACACATTTATAAAGATACATGTAAACACACAAGTGCGTATACTGCTAGAGGTGGGCCACATTAAACCTGCCACCTCTGAACTGTTATAAGACTCACCTGTATCATTGGCTTCCTGAAGAAGACTGTGAGCTCCATGAGAGCAAGCATACTGTATATCCCTTGGCCTGTTCCACAACACCAGCATAGATCTTTGCACCTAAGACAGTCAGCAAATATATTTTGGTTGGTTGTTTGCTTGGTTGATACTGTATTAAACTGGTCATTGGGTCTCATCCATAGGGAAGGTCTAGGGATTTAAGGTTATGGACTTGGTGTTTTACAAGCGTAGGTACACTAAACATTACATACTCAGAGTCCTGCTGCAGTGCCACTCAAGAAAAACAGGGACTGAGTTGTTACTGAGTCCCAAAGCATTATCTCAGGTGCAAAGAAATATTCAGACACAAAATAGAAAGGTATCCTTCCCCCAAGAAGCTCAAAATCTGTTGAGACAGAATGCATATAAAACTAAGTATGGCACACTTGATTCTTATGATACTTCCTGTGCATCTACCGGTAAAACAGACAAAACTGAACTGTACTGTTTACAGTTGCATACTTTAAGGAGCAAAACTGTAGAGAAGTGGGAGTGTTTTCCATAAAAGCATGAGTGGAAAGGGGCTGTGGTCAGGAAGAACCAATAGCAGCCTCCTAGAATTCTCACAGTGGCTGCGTGGGTACTGGATTTACCTTAATTCATTACACTGTACATTTATCACTGTGCATTTTTCTAAATGTGTGTTCTATTTCACAATTTCAGAAAGCTTAAAGCAGCAGCAGTCCAGGGTATGATAGTTCAAAAATTCATCAGAGTTCCAGGATCCTTGTAGCTTTCTGCTTTTCTGTCCTTAAGGCATGGCCTTCATGGCAGTTTAAGATGATTCCTGGTTCTCTGGCATTACATCCCCATGAAATGAGAAAAGAAAAAACAAATTCCCTTTAAGAATCCTTCCTAGAAAGTGCACAAATTATTTCTGCATGTACTCCCTCAACCAGAACTACAGGAACTAGGAAATATAGTCTTTATTCTAGACACTTCTTGGCTCACAGGCTTTGTTATGTAAGAGGAAGGAGAGAAAGGACGTTGGGAAATACCTCTTAGTCTCTGCCACAGCCAGGCAGTTTGATCAAGTCACACTGCCACTGCTGGTGAGAATAAAGCCAGGATCCAAAACGGGGTTATTGACTGAAGCCAATGATCTTTCTGCAGTGTTGTACTGCCCACCCTCAGTAAGACCCATAATTCTGAAATGGGCTAGATGGATAGGGGCTGCTAAGAATGGGCAGGTAGGTGGACTAGAAACAGACTGACCAGAAAGTTAAAAAAACAAAACAAAATAAAACAAAACAAAACAAAAGGAATGATCAACCAGGGGACTGTTGACTTAACGAACAAAATAGATGTGCTAAAATTTAAAAAAAAAAAGGTCAACCAATGTTCGTGCATTTTTTGGATCTTATTTACTTATTCCTGTTCTCGGTAACGGGGGTATTTTTGGTTTTGCAGGTGGTTAAAGTTCACCAAAGTACTGTAACTTCCTATCTGGAAGACATAATACTGAATACCGAAGAGAATACTGCAGAAGAACAAGCCAGGGCAGAAATTGAGAAGATGGCTGAGGAAATCAATGACATTGCTTACGAAATGGAGAGCCGGTTTGTACCGAGAGAACAGATGGCAGAATGGATAGTCTATTTGCTGTTACTCATACATATTCTTCAAGAGCTTATGATTTTACCACCAAGGAGAAACAAGTATATAACTCCTGTTTCAGTGTCCATTGTTTTAACTGCATAACTTCAGAAGTCAACATGCCTGGACCTTTGTATGGCAGGAGTGCTAGAAATAGAATTTTCAGTTATCCTCTGTAGTCTGGATCACTTCCATATTAGTTACTTTCAGAATATCACAGAGCATGAAAGCAATGTGAATAAGTATGTGCAATATTACTTCACCCCAAAGTTTTTGGCTTCTTGTATAAGTTATATCTCTAACATTCCCTTTCCGGCAAGCAGGCTAAATGGAGGACAATGTCAAATCTGAATTTGCATGGAGTCAACAAGCCCATCAGGAGTGTAAGATTTCAGAGTACTTAATCAAGGAAAAGGCAGTGATGGGATTTGAACAGTGGAGTTTCTTATACAAGCAAGAAAAAACTGAGTATAAATCAGTAGCTCAAGTAAGGCAACAAAGGAAATAATTTGTTGTTTTTCTTTTTTTTTTTTTTTTTTAATTTTTTAGTCGAACTCAGCTTCAGTCAGAGGAGATTGTTGCTGAGTTGGTTTATAGTTTCCTGATCCCAGAGGTCCAAAAGGACTTTGTCAAAGAAAAAGGTAAGCCGGGGGTGATTGGGTGGCTCAGTCGGTTAAGCATCCAACTCTGGATACTGGCTCAGATCATGATCTCACACTTTGTGAGATAAGCCCCCATCTTGCTCTGCGCTGACAGCATGGAGCCTGCTTGGGATTCTCTCTCCCCCTCTATCCTTGCCCCTCCCCTGCTTGTTCTCTCTCATTAAAAAAATTTTTTAAGAAAAAGGTAAGCCACTGTAAGTGCTTCACTTTATGATTTTTAAAAGATATAAACTATTTTCAATATCCCGAGATTTAAAATAAGTATCACTGAATTTTCTTATTTTAGAGCTTGTCAAGTTTTCTGCATGCTGTCTGATTCCAGAAGACAACCATCTCTAGTATAGATGGGGTGCAGTTCTTGTTAGTGTGACAGACCATCAAAAGCCAAACCTTCCTTTAAGAGGAACTTCCCAAGTTCCCAAAAGAGGTGTATTTTATGATTTTATTTTTTTAAACATAAAGCAAATGTGGGGGTACCTTGGTGGCTCAGTCAGTTAAGCAGCCAAGTCTTTATTTCAGCTCAAGTCATGATCTCATGGTTATGAGATCGAGCCCCACATTGGGTGTGGAGCCTGCTTAAGATTTTCTCTCTCCCTCTACCCCTCCCCAACTTGCATGCACTTTCTCTCAATAAATAAATAAATAAATAAATAAATAAATAAATAAATAAAATTTAAACATAAAATGGGCGCCTGGGTGGCTCAGTCTGACTTTGGCTCAGGTCATGATATCACAGTCCGCAAGTTTGAGCCCTGCGTCTCCCTTTCTCTCTTGCCCCTCCCCTGCTCATACTCTGTCTCTCTCTCTCAAAAATAAAACATTAAAAAATTTTAAAAAATAAATAAATTTAAACATAAAGCAAATGCTGACAATATGGGATTTTCAAACTGTAGTAGCCATTTGCAGGTGGGACACATGCAAGGTTGGAATTGGAAAATTGGGATGCTTGAAGGTCCTAAATCTACTCTGCTGCTCTGCCTGTACTACAGATGTCTTCTCTTTTTTTCCAGGACTGTGTCCAAGTATAAATATCTTATTATTTGTCAAAAGAGGCATGTTTTGAAGATTGATGCTTGTAGTCAATAGAGAAGGGGAAAAAATTTTGTCTTACAAAGAGAATACTCTTCTGGAGCTTTTAGACTATTGGTGCCAGTTTATCAGAGAGGGGTGCAACCAGACATGTATTTATCTGAAATGACTTACAGGGAAGATGACTAGGTAGGAAGATCCTAAGCTCACCCTGTCCCACAGATACACCTAGATAACACACCCATCAGTGTAAATAACCCAGAAAATGACCTGAAAACTGACAGAACAGACTCTCCACAGGTAAATGTGGAGAAGAGACCACATCAAAAATGGTAGAAAGGGTGGAGACATGGTCAGGAACCAAACTGACCCATGAGACTGTCCATAGGCGAGACACTGCAAATGTGCAGAAAGGAGAGGAGCAGACCCCATACCAGGTGCCCTAGGGAAGGGAGACCCACAGTGGGAAAATGAATCCCTGTAACATTTGACTTTGAAAACCAGAAGGGCTTAACTTCACACATTTTATAATCAATAGGGCTCAACACCTTTAAAAATCAGTGGCTTAGTTCTAGGAGAGCCAGAGAGCAATAGGAAATAGTCTCCACCCTTAAAGAGACAGCATAACATACAGCCCCACTGAGATACAGCATAGAAGCAGCAGTCTGGGGCGCCTGGGTGGCGCAGTCGGTTAAGCGTCCGACTTCAGCCAGGTCACGATCTCGCAGTCCGTGAGTTCGAGCCCCGTGTCAGGCTCTGGGCTGATGGCTCAGAGCCTGGAGCCTGTTTCCAATTCTGTGTCTCCCTCTCTCTCTGCCCCTCCCCCGTTCATGCTCTGTCTCTCTCTGTCCCAAAAATAAATAAACGTTGGAAAAAAAAAATTAAAAAAAAAAAAAAGAAGCAGCAGTCTGAATGTATGGGAAGATTGATTTACTAATCTCAGAACATGTGCTGGGGGCAAGGATCTTTAGGATCCGAAAACAAAAGAGCTGACGGGTGCCATTTCCCTCCCTCAATCATTCCCTTCCTCAATAAATGGACACCTATAAGGACCAGGACAGCATACACACTCTTCACTTAGCTTGCTAACAACATACCCCACCCCTGTGTTTTCCTGTGGATTCACCTTCTCCTAACTGTTTCACTCAGCAGGAGTCCATCGAGAGTAATGCCACAAACCTGGCATTGTACAAGCAGCCCCAATGGGCTAGCACTGCTCGCCTGACTCCTACTCCAGAGAGAGGGGAAGATGACCACACACACACCAATTCAATTGTGGACCCAGCAATGGGCAGATGTGGTCTGACTGCAGGCCTCACCCACCCAACAAAACCCCCCCAGGGGTCAACCCAGAGAGAGCACCCTGCAGCTCCAGCAAACATCTGAGCTGACCCAAATCAAGCCCAAAGCAACATCAGACTGGCCAAATTACAACAGAGGGACCAAACCCTGCCCACAACAGGCAAAAAGAGCCATTGCAGATGACTGGACTAGAGGCAAACATGACTCAGACACAAAAGTAGGGCACATGCAACACACAAAGGAGATACCCCTGAAGCACCAGGTTCTGGTGAACATGGGACAATTGCACTGCAGGGCACTATAGGGCTTCTTCTTTGTAAGGCCACTACTTTCAAGAGCAGGAGATACAGCTGACTTTCCTAACACAGAGAAACACAGAGTTAGACAAAATGAGGAGATAAAAGAATATATCCCAAATGAAAGAACAGGACAAAATCACAGCAAGTGAGCTAAAGGAAAGGGTGAAAAGCAATATGACTGATAGACAATTAAAAGTAATGGTCATACCAATGGAATAGAATAGAAACCCCAGAACTAGACCCACAAAAGTATGGCCAACTAATCTTTGACAAAGCAGGAAAGAATATCCAATGGAAAAAGACAGTCTCTTTAACAAGTGGTGCTGGGAGAACTGGACAGCAACATGCAGAAGAATGAAACTAGACCACTTTCTTACACCATTCACAAAAATAAACTCAAAATGGATAAAGGACCTGAATGTGAGACAGGAAACCATCAAAACCTTAGAGGAGAAAGCAGGAAAAGACCTCTCTGACCTCAGCTGTAGCAATTTCTTACTCGACACATCTCCAAAGGCAAGGGAATTAAAAGCAAAAATGAACTATTGGGACCTCATGAAGATAAAAAGCTTCTGCACAGCAAAGGAAACAACCAACAAAACGAAAAGGCAACCAACGGAATGGGAAAAGATATTTGCAAATGACATATCGAACAAAGGGCTAGTATCCAAAATCTATAAAGAGCTCACCAAACTCCACACCTGAAAAACAAATAACCCAGTGAAGAAATGGGCAGAAAACATGAATAGACACTTCTCTAAAGAAGACATCTGGATGGCCAGCAGGCACATGAAGAGATGCTCAACGTCGCTCCTTATCAGGGAAATACAAATCAAAACCACACTCAGATATCACCTCACGCCAGTCAGAGTGGCCAAAATGGACAAATCAGGAGACTATAGATGCTGGAGAGGATGTGGAGAAACGGGAACCCTCTTGCACTGTTGGTGGGAATGCAAACTGGTGCAGCCGCTCTGGAAAACAGTGTGGAGGTTCCTCAGAAAATTAAAAATAGACCTACCCTATGACCCAGCAATAGCACTGCTAGGAATTTACCCAAGGGATACAGGAGTACTGATGCATAGGGGCACTTGGACCCCAATGTTTATAGCAGCACTCTCAACAATAGCCAAATTGTGGAAAGAGCCTAAGTGTCCATCAACTGATGAATGGATAAAGAAATTGTGGTTTATATACACAATGGAGTACTACGTGGCCATGAGAAAGAATGAAATATGGCCCTTTGTAGCAACGTGGATGGAACTGGCAAGTGTGATGTTAAGTGAAATAAGCCATACAGAGAAAGACAGATACCATATGGTTTCACTCTTATGTGGATCCTGAGAAACTTAACAGAAACCCATGGGGGAGGGGAAGGAAAAAAAAAAAAAAAAAAAAGAGGTTAGAGCCAAAGCATAAGAGACTCTTAAAAATTGAGAACAAACTGAGGGCTGATGGGGGGTAGGAGGGAGGGGAAGGTAGGTGATGGGCATTGAAGAGGGCATCTTTTGGGATGAGCACTGGGTGTTGTATGGAAACCAATTTGACAATAAATTTCATATATTAAAAAAAAAAGTAATGGTCATAATGTGCTCTTTTCCCATGGGAGCCCAGTGTACAATGGCTGCAAAGAGTACCTCCTTGGCAGTGTGTGATTACATAGCCTGTTGATTGTATGGGTGGCCCTAAGGGACCTTCAAGACATCTCAGATGGCTTTAGCATCAAATACATCCCAAATTTTGGCCCCTGGGAAAATGGTAGACTCAGCACTCTTGAGAACCTCAGCACTGCCCTCTCCTTATTCATGCCCACCAATAAATCCTACTACTTGTCAAAAATAAATTAATGGTCATAAAGGTACACAGTGGAGTGGAGGACCTCAAGGAGAGAAAATATAAAAAAGAACCAGAGATGAAGAACTCAATAACTGAAATAAAAAGTACACTAGAGGGGAAAAATAGTGGACTAGAGGAAGCAGAAGAACAGATTAGTGGTCTGGAGGTCAGAGTAATGAAAAGCAAGCAAACTGAACAGGAAAGAGAAAAAAGAGTGATAAAAAATGAATATAGGTTAAGGGAACTCAGCCACACCACCAAACATAATATTCACATTATAGAGATACAAGAAGGAGAAGTCAGAGAAAAGGGGGTGGGAGAAGAAAATGTTATTTGAAGAAATAATAGCTCAAAACTTCCTGAATCTGGGGAAGGAAACAAAAATTCAGGAGGCATATAGAGCTCCCCCCAAAAATCAACCCAAAGACCGTCAACACATAAAAATTAAAATGCAAAAAGTAGTGATAAAGCAGCAAAAGAAAACAGTTACATATAAGGGAAATCAAATAGGGA